TAACAACGTTAGTCATGAACGTATGCGTGTGCTTGTCCGTTTAATGTGTGCAGTGACATGTGCAGGGCGTCAAGTTCCTATCCAGAAGGGGGGTCCAGGGGGTCCGGACCCCCCCTTTTTTACCCCCAAAAAAGGGAAAACACATAAAAGATAATTTTCTGCTCAAAAATTTGGAATTCCATCTTGCATTCTAGACATCAAAATTACTGCTCAGATGCTCTCAGAATGCACCAATTTTTAAATTTTTTTGGGGGGAGGTCCCCCTAACCCCCCCTCCCCCTAAGTGGCAACGTGCCTTAGACACGTCGCATAACCTGCCTTCGGCACCTTTTTATAAAAATGCCCTTTATTTCTTACTGGACCCCCCCTTTTTCAAAAAGGCGATCCGCCCATGTATACATGTACGTCATACTATTTTGGAGTAGTCTACATGTATGGGTGCTTATGCATGTATAAACCTACTTATCAATTTTAACATGCATTTCTCATTAAAACCTCAAAAATATGTTTCGCATGTGATGTAACTCCAAATATGTATATTAATAAAACCATTTGTGGTGGATCGGGATCGCTGCAGGGGTGTTGGGAGGCCATCTAACGCAACAAATATTCCTATTTAACATGTATTTTCTCACCAAAATTCCTATTTTCCTCCTTTTTTTCACATCTGAAATTCCTATTTTTCTATTTTTTGAGCGTCACTTGTCACTTGACGCCCTGCATGTGCGTGCACGTGTATGTGTGCGTGCGTCTGTGTGTGCGCGTGTATGTGCGTGAGCGTATGCGTGCGCTTGTGCATTTAATGTGTGCCGGTGACATGTGCGTGCACGTGTATGTGTGCGTGCGTCTGTGCGATTGTGTGCAAGCCATTGTCTGCGCGCGCGGGTGTGTGAAAAGAGACTATTGATACAATTACAATTACTGTCTTCTAATAACAAGTAATATAATAATTGTCAGTAATCGTTACCGCTATCTCTACCGTGCAGGACACGGATCTGTGTAAGCCGCGTCACACCATCGACTGCCTGAAGAAGTGACATCACGTCCGCGGCGTTGACGTCGCCACCGACGAGACAGTGGCGCGCTCTGTGAGCAAAGAGCCATGTGAGTGTCTAGTCTCCTATCTCCTATATATACTGCATCACATTGTAACACACGTGTATGTGGATGCACCTGTATGTGGATGCACCTGTATGTGGAATGGATGCACCTGTATGTGGATGCACCTGTATGTGGAGATGGTATGCATGATGATGCACCTGTATGTGGAATGGATGCACCTGTATGTGGATGCACCTGTATGTGGATGCACCTGTATGTGGAATGGATGCACCTGTACATGGATGCACCTGTATGTGGAATGGATGCATCTGTATGTGGATGCACCTGTACTTGCTGTTTTACATTTGCATTCTGACTAAACAATGGGTAATAATTATGTGAGAAGTTTATGACTACTTCATGTGTGATATGTCACGTACGATGATGTCATCATTGTCATGTGCGATGTCATCTAGGATTGTCATTTATGATGGCGGCGGCGTGTGTTTCAGCGTTGACAAGGTCGAGCCGGGAGGTCGCATGATGCTCCACCTATCACAGGAGAGCATGTTGAGCGAATGCAGCGTGTCGAGTGCTTGCAGCGCCGCCAGTGGCCAGTCGGTGAACAATGAGAGCGGCAAGAAGAAGAAGAAGAAGAAGAGCTGGGTGAGTAAGCAAACACGTGAGAAACACGCGCTATGCTGTCTGCTGCTGCTGCTGCTGCTGTCTGCTGCTGCTGCTGCTGCTGCTGCTGCTGCTGCTGCTGCTGCTGCGGCTGCTGCTGCTACTTGCTGGCTGCTATACTGCTGCTGCTACTGCGCTGCTCGCTGCTGCGGGCTGCGGTCTGCTGGCTGCTGCTGCAGCTGCTGCTGCTACTGCTGCTGCTGCTGCTATACTGCTACTACTGCTGCTGCTGCTGGTACTGGTACTGCTGCTGCTGCTGCTGCTGCTGCTGCTGCTACTGCTGCTGCTGCTGCTAGTACTGCTGCTGCTGCTGCTGCTGCTGCTACTGCTGGCTGCTAGTACTGCTGCTGCTGCTGCTGCTGCTACTGCTGGCTGCTAGTACTGCTGCTGCTACTGCTGCTGCTGCTGCTGCTACTGCTGCTGCTGCTGCTACTGCTGCTGCTGCTGCTACTGTTGCTCCTACTGCTGCTACTGCTGCTGCTACTTCTACTGCTACTGCTGCTGCTAGTACTGCTGCTACTGCTGCTGCTGCTGCTAGTACTGCTGCTGCTGCTGCTGCTGCTGGCTGCTACTGCTGCTGCTAGTACTGCTACTGCTGCTGCTAGTACTGCTGCTGCTGCTGCTGCTGCTGCTGTTGCTCCTACTGTTGCTACTGCTGCTGCTACTGGTACTGTTGCTGCTGCTGCTGCTGCTGCTGGCTGCTACTGCTGCTGCTAGTACTGCTACTGCTGCTGCTAGTACTGCTGCTACTGCTGCTGCTTGCTAGCTGCCTGCGCTGCTAGTACTGCTGCTGCTGCTGCTGCTACTGGTACTGCTGCTGCTGCTGCTGCTGCTACTGCTGCTGCTACTGGTACTGCTGTGCTGCTGCTGCTGCTGCTACTGCCCATAGTAACTGTCCAAGCACTCTAGCTTATATCTGAACACTTGAAAAACTCATGTTAACTGAGACATGACTGCAATGTAAACTTTTAAATATCATTACAACTGTGTTGCTATAGCTGTAACTATAACTACAAGTATAACGTAAATTTAATGTAATTTTTCTTAAACCTTAGCTGTTACTGCTGCTTACATCTCTCCCTTTCTTTCTCTCTCCCCTCCCCCTCCCCCTCTCTCACTGACTCTCTCTCTCTGACTCACTCTCTCTCACTCACTCGCTCTCTCTCTCTCTCACTCTCTCTCTCTCTCTCTCACTGACTCTCATCTCTCTCTCACTCACTCACTCGCTCTCTCTCTATATATATCTTTGTAGTTTGTTCAGCAAGCGTTCAACCACCGTAAGAAGAATAAGAATGGCTCGGTGTCGGATGCTGAGGATGGAGTGAGCATGACGAGTGATGGGGTCGGCCCCCAACTCACCGATGTGTGTGCGCAACAACCGCAGTGGCTCGCTCAAGCTCACCCACTCATCGTCACTGTAAGTGCCAGAAACATACATCATAGTAGCTATATAACATCAAGAGCATATAAAGAAGGAGAGCGTACAACGGTGAAATGCTGAAACCATGTTGCAGTATTAGTCGAATTAAGAAACTTTCCCCGTTTTATTTTGACGATTCTTTGCGGTATTATTGATCACTGTCCTACCTTTGTTAATATAAAACAAACCGCATGTCCCTACGATGCCCCTACGCTGAGATAATGAGCGTTGAAAAACTCGTATTTCGCCGAAAACGACTCGAGATCAGTGTTTACTGCCTTTGTATGGAAGGCCATTACCGCCAAAACCTACCTATTTTAATCACGCTTAAAATGTATTTTAATCACGCTTAAAATGTATTTCAAGTGTGATTAAATTCCAGCCAATCAGAACAGTGGTTTTTAATCGCGCTTAAATTCGATTTTAAGCGCGATTAAATTCCAGCCAATCAGAACATTGGGTTTTAATCGCGCTTAAATTCGATTTTACGCGTGATTAAATTCCAGCCAATCAGAACAGTGCTTTTTAATCGCGATTAAATTCGATTTTACGCGTGATTAAATTCCAGCCAATCAGAACAGTGCTTTTTAATCGCGATTAAATTCAAATAAATAGGCTTAGAATTAAATAAAAATAATTTTAAGTACAAAATTTGCATTCACCCGGCGACTAGATTTCCTCATGTTTGGTAACTTTCGCCTTACTCCTCTTGCACAATCTAATTTAGATTGAGTCAAGAAACGGGGCTCAAATCTCCAATATGGCTAGAATTCGTGCTGCTTGATAAGTTCAAGAGCTAATAAATACCTAGAGTGTACAACGGAAAAACGGGAAAATAGTGCTATTCACGACATGATTATTACTTGGCCTGCGAGTCTAAAATAATTTTATGATATTGCATTAAGCAGAATTCTTTGCTCTCTAAAACAGACCAACCGCTGTCAATACGATACTCCTAGGCGAAGATATTGGCTCCTAAACTTCCCTCCCACATGCCAAACGTCGACTCGAATTCACTTTCTGTCCGCTTCTGTCACCTTGCCCCAAATATTTTTTGTTATCAGCTTATAATTATAATTGTATATACACGTTGGGATTCCACCAGCTGTGTTGACACACGCAATAACAGCGACGTGATAATGAAAGCGTATATATAACACGGGGCGCGTATATGTGCAGGATGTTCTGAATACAGTGTACTGTACAATTTTCGAGTGTATATATCCGCTCTCCTCTCTCCTCTCTTCTTCTCTCCCATCTCTCCTCTCTTATCTCTCTTCCCCCCTCTCTCTCCCTCTCTCCCTCTTCTCCCTCTCTCCCTCTCTTCCCTCTCGCTGTTGTATATTGACACATGTACATAATATTCAGAGAGTCGGACAGTGTGATTTCAATACAACATGTAATCATTTTGATTATACTACATCATACTTGTATACATCATACTGATTATACTTGTAAGTAACATGACTGTTTGTACTATCGATAAGCGATTAATGACGTCGTTGCATGCAGGTCGCCTGGAGCCATCCATGGACGAGGAGGAGGTCGAACAAGAGCTGCGCAGATACTTCACGAACATAGCAGACGATGAACCTGAGGAGAGAGGTAAGTCACCTTTGTATTCTCCTTGCTCTCTCGTTCTCTCTCTGCCCCTCTCTACCTCTCCTTTCCTCCCTCTCTCTCTTCTCCCCTCTCATCTTCGCCTTCACTCCCCTCTCTCGCTCTCCTCTTCCTCCTTTCTCGCCCTCTCGTCCCTCTCCCTCTCTGTCTCCTCCCTCTCTCCCCTCTTCTCTGCCTTCTCCAGAGGCCCCTCTCATCTCTCTTCTTCGCCTTTGCCCTCCCTTTGGAGAGGGAGGAGGGAGGAGATGACAGAGGAGGAGGAGGAGGAGGAGGAGGAGGCGGTGGTGGCAGCGGCGGGCTTCCTCCCTCCCCTCGGCGGGGGGCTTCCTCTATCCCCTCTCTCCCCTCCTCCTCCCTGAGGAGAGAGGTATGTCACCTTTGTATTCTCCTTGCCTCTCTCGTTCTCTCTCTGCCCCTCCTTTCCCTCCCTCTCTCTCTTCTCTCACCTCTCATCTTCGCCCTCTCTTCGTCGCCTTCCTCTCTGTCTCCTCCCTCTCTCCCCTCTTCTCTGCCTTCTCCAGTGGCCCCTCTCATCTTCGCCTTTGCCCTCCCTTTGGAGAGGGAGGAGGGAGGAGATGACAGAGGAGCAGTGATGATGAGACGATAGAGGAGGAGGGAGGAGGTGATAGAGGGAGGAGGGGAGAGGGAGGAGGAGGAGGCGGCGGTGGCAGCGGCAGGCTTCCTCCCTCCCCTCGGCCCTCCCCTCCGGCTCTTCTCTGCCTTCTCCAGAGGCCCCTCTCATCTCTCTTCTTCGCCTTTGCCCTCCCTTTGGAGAGGGAGGAGGGAGGAGGAGGGAGGAGGAAGAGGGAAGAGGGAGGAGGTGAGAGAGGGGGGAGGAGGAGGAGGAGGCGGCAGCGGCGGGCTTCCTCCCTTCCCTCGGCGGGGGGCTTCCTCTCTCCCCTCCTCCTCCTCGCCCCCTCTCTCCTCTCCTCCTCCACCTCCTCGCCCCCTCTCTCCTCCTTCCTCCTCCTCTCCTCTCCTCCTCTCCTCTCTCCTCTTCGCTCCCGGCAGAGAGAGAACGAGAGAGAGAAGAGAGGAGAGAGGGACGAGGGAGAAGAGACACCTCCGCCTCCCCTTCCTCCTCCTCCTCGCCCCCTCTCTCCTCTCCTCCTCCACCTCCTCGCCCCCTCTCTCCTCCTTCCTCCTCCTCTCCTCTCCGCTCCCGGCAGAGAGAGAAGAGAGAGAGGGACGAGGGAGAAGAGACAGAGAGCGAGAAGAGAGATGATAGGAGAGAGACGAGAGGGGAGAGGAGAGAGAGAGAAGGCGAAGAAGAGAGATGAGGAGAGAGAGGAGAGAGTGAGAGGAAGAAGGCGAAGAAGAGAGATGAGAGGAGACAGAGCGAGAGAGACGAGAGGGAAGAGAGATGAGGAGAGAGCGAGAGAACGAGAGGGGCAGAGAGAAAGACAAGGAGAATACAAAAGTGACTTACCTCTCCCAGCAGGTTGTCGAGGATGCGGAGCAGCTCCAGGCGATGGCTCCTTACCAGACCTGCATGCAACGACGTCATTAATCGCTTATCGATAGTACAAACAGTATCTGACATATTGTTTGTTGTTTGTTATGTATGATGTAGTATAATCAATAAATAATTACATGTTGTATTGACACACTTGTCCGACTCTCTGAATATGATGTAAATGTGTCATTCGGATTTCCAACAGATTCTCTACATACGCGGCACAGCATTTCACATTAGCACTGCCACTGGGTAAACAAGCACGGTTGTCACACATAATATAAGACGAGAGAGAGAGAGAGAGAGAGAGAGAGAGAGAGAGAGAGAGAGACGAGACGAGAGAGAGAGAGAGAGAGAGAGAGAGAGAGAGAGAGAGAGAGAGAGAGAGAGAGAGAAAGAAAAAGCGAGAAGACACGAGAGAGAGAGAGAGAAAGAGAGAAAAAGAGAGCGCGTGTCAGCGAGAGAGAAAATGCAAGAACGGGAGATGTGCCCTGAGGGAGACACAGACAGACAACCAGCCAGACATACATACAGACAGACAGACATACATAACATCTAAAGTTGGTCGATACACAGTATATTATGTCGATACACATATTGATTGCGCACATAGAACATAATCTCACGCTTACATCTATACAACATGTAGATATACTCACAGCACCCTAAGCTCGGTAAGATTCTGAAAGGCTCCATCAGCAATCGTGTGAATCTTATTGCTTCCAAGATTTCTGAAATGAAGCCAGAACAATAACTGTGAGTAGGAAGCTGGAATCTAACGGTTACCATACATTATATATAAAGGGAGGAACGAAAGAGAGGCAGAGGAAAGGGAAAGTGGAAAATATCGCGAGAGGAGAATGGACATGGCGTATGGAGCAGGGAGGGGGTAGGAAGATGGATTTGGTGGCGAGGAGGAGGAGAAGCAAGGAAATGGTAGAAGGGTTGTGAGAGGACAACGAGCAGAATCGTGAGCGGGAGAGGTGAGTCTGGGGGGCCGGGCGCTCGGGAAAAGAGGCTGAGTGTAGGGATGCTGGCGAGGCGAAAGGAGAAACGCGAGCTATGTTAAAGGGGAGTGAGCAGAATAAAGGGTACGAGGAGAAGAGAGAGAGTGTAGGAGGGGAGACAAGAGATGTGAGAGGGGGGAGCAAGAGCGCGAGAGAGGGAAAGAAGCGAGAGAGAGTGAGAAAAAGAGAGATATGAGACACCGGGAGTCCACACACAGACAGAGATGAGAGAGAGAGTTTCGAGAGGATTTCCCTATTCGATTTAGAGAGAGAGAGAGACGAAAGAGAGAGGGAGCGCGCGCGTGCGAGAGATGATGGTCACGCATAGGTAGTCTCCATCCGTTACCCTGTGGGCGTGTCTTAGTAAGATAGCGGCAACCGCATTTGTTACGTGTCGGTAGGCACCGCCTACCATTACCGTGTGGGCGTGTCAAGCACCTATACACATACCACGCCTACAGTTGATTGAACAACGACGTACGTACACACGCACACACACACGCACGCACGCACGCACACACACGCACACACACGCATGCAGGCACGCGCGCACGCGCACGCACACACACACACACGCGCACACGCGCACATACAAACACACAGCGACACACACAGCACACACACACAACACACACACAAACACACACACACAAACACACACACACACACACACACACACACACACAAACACACACACCACACACCACACACACCACACACACCACACACCACACACACACACACACTACACACGTCATCACCTAACAGCCTGCTGTAGTGGTGAGTGGGCCGTGGTTGAGAGCGGCGGGCGGATGGCCACCGAGCGACACTCGTTTGCTGCTTCAGCCAGACACTTGTTCAGAACCCCGATGTCAGTCCCGTTAACAAAGCTGTCCTCGTGTACGTCTCTGGATCCGATGCGCAGCCGCTTAGGTTTCTATAACGGAAGTATTGAGGTATAGTCTACTAATACTTAATATATACCTATATGCTGTGTGTGTGTGTGTCCGTGATGTGTGCTGGTCGCCTGTGTGATGTCGGGTGCGTGTGGCCGGTGTGTGCTGTGTGCAGGGTCGTGTGTGTGATGTGTGTGTGTGTGTGGCGTGATGTGTGCTGTGTCGTGTGGTGTGTTGTGTGTGTGTGTGTGTGTGTGATGGGTGTTGTGCTGTGTGTGTGTCGTGTGTGTTGTGTGGTGTGTGTGTGGTGCAGTATATACTATATAATATATACACTGGTAGTCTGTACAGATAAATTAGAAGGCACAAGAAGCATCAGCTTTAAGAGCTGTTACTCGAGTTTCACGCTTACGGCGATCACTGACAGCACGTTAATAAGAATACACCTTATTATAGAAATCTACTATAACCGATATATTCATGAATGGCGCTAGGTGTTTTAGTTATCTATTGTTAGTGTAGTTCTATAGTTCTACTAGTTCAATAGATTTATCGAACGATTTATTCTTCATTAAAGTCTGTCTGATGTATCGGCGTAGCAGTGAAACTCGCCGAGTACCCAGCCAAAATCTGAAGGGTGTCTTAGAGTTGAGAGAGAGCGGACGCAGCAGACGCTCACCATCACGCGCACGACGCACACGCCACACGCCCACACCGCACACGCACACGCACGCACACACGACACACACCACACGCACTACACACACACACACACACACACACACACACCCACAGACTCACACACACACACACACACTTCACACAGCACACACCACACTCACCACACCACACACACACACAGCACACACACACACACACACAGCGACACACACACACGCTCCAGCGGCCCGACGCCCCACCGGCACGCCCAGCACACCACCGCCACCGCACACGCCCGACCCACCCCGCGCCCATCACCACACACGCCACACGCGCGCCGCGCACGCCACGCGGCACACCGCACACGCACACGCACACCGCGACACGCACGACAACACTACACACACACACACACACACACACACACACATACACATATAAATATATATTATATATTATATTATATATATATATATATATATTATATACTATATATAGGCGTGTTTCGTACAATCATAAGCTGTAGGCTAAGAATAGAAATTATAAAAAGTGAAACAGCGCCGGTATTGATTTGTTACGGAGAGCAATCGATGCGATTTCATTTCTCTGATATTTGATACTATATAGTGAAATGCAGGCGACGCGACCGTAGCAAGGATCTAGGGAAACGGGGGAAGCAGTGCAAGTATATAACACACCGCCTCCTCCTTTCATCCCATCCTCTCCTCTCCCCAGTAGTGCCACCCACGCTCTCTCGCTATCAGACATGAGAGGTGGATGAAAGGCTTTCGATTTGCATTAAGGTAACGAGTGAGCCCTAATATAACTCTGCCGCTGTGTATCTCTGGTGGCATCGGGATATGATAGACATTTAGGCAAGTCCCCCGTGTTTCTCTCTCATGGCCTACGGGATATGATAGCTCGAGAATACGATAGACATTTAGGCCAGCCCCGTTGTTTTTCTTTGATGGTCTATGGGATATGATGGTCATTTAAGCCAGCCCCCCGTTGTTTCTCGCTGATGGCCTACGGGATAGGATAGCTGGGAAATATGTAGCCATTTAGGCTAGCCCCCCGTTGTTTCTCTCGCATGGCCTACGGGATATGATAGCTCGAGAATATGATAGACAGTTAGGCTAGCCCCCCGTTGTTTCTCTCTGATGGCCCCGGAATACGATAGACAGTTAGGCCAGCCCCCGTTGTTTTTCTTTGATGGTCTATGGGATATGATGGTCATTTAAGCCAGCCCCCCGTTGTTTTTCTCTCTGATGGCCTACGGGATATAATAGCTGGGGAATATGATAGGCATACCACGCTTCATGGCACGCTGCCTCACTTGCAGGGGCATCTATGAATATTCGGTGTGAATAATAACAATAATAAAATTTGGTCATTATTCGATTTTGTCATTTTTTCAAATTTTGTCCAATTATTCACCTCTGGTAATTTATTGATAATAACAAAAATAATCGCTAGCGGCGTCTCATTTTCTATAAATATCATCGGGGATTCATTAGCGTTAATTTTACAATGAATTAATTAATTAAATAACATTATCTTCCTTTCTCTCTCTCTCAGTCTCTCGCTCTCTCTCTCTCTCTCTCTCTCTCTCTC